GAAATTCACAATTTTAGTAAAGCACCTTAAGACCCTTCCATCTATGAAGAGTATTTGATTCTACCATATCTGGGTCTTGAGAAGAAGATTTTTGAAATTTTAGTCAATTTGACCCTTTTTGGCCCCGCCCCTCAGGCCCCTGGGGGCTTGGGACTAAACCGGCAACTGTTTTTGTTGACCTTTGTCCATGGTCCCTGCAAAATTTCATTGAAATTGGTTCAGTGGTTTTTGAGGAGAAGTCGAAAATGTAAATTGTTTACGGACGGACGACGGACGACGACGGACAAAAGGAGATCGCAATAGGTCACTTGAGACTTCGTCTCAGGTGACCTAAAAAAAGAGGGGCATTTATGAAAGACATGACAATGAAATATATTGGCAGTAAGGGTGATGGTAAATGAAGCCACATGTTATAAGTAGGTACATTTTTACATGTCAATGATTAAAGATGCTGGGCAGATAGCTATGCAAGAAGAATGGTTGCATACATCAATGATGTATAAATACTTGAATAAATGAGAAATACACATGCTAAAAGTTGCAATGATACATGGCACTGTGGTATGTTGCAATTTATAATTTTTAGCTCACCTGGCCCTGGGGACATATAACGATATAAATATAACAAATTCTTTAAAATCCTTCTTCTTCTGTAGGAATGAAAGGATTTGTTCAATATTTGGTCTGAAGCATCCTTGGGGGAAGGGGAACAACTTTTGTATAAATGGTGGGTCTGGCCCTCCTAGGGACTGAGAGGCAGGGCTCTTCTTCGGTAGGAATGAAAGGATTTGTTCCACATTTGGTCTGAAGCATCCTTGGGTGAAGGGGAACCAATTTTGTATAAACCATGGGTCTGGCCTACTAGTTGCCTGAGGGACAGGGCCCAATAAGGGAAACATAGTAAATTCTTCAAAATCCTACTTCTTCTATAGGAATAAAATGATTTGTTCAATAATTGGTCAGAAGAATTCTTAGGGGGAAGGGGAACACATTTTGTATCAATGATGGGTCTGGCCCCACTAGGTGCTGAGGGGCAGGGCCAAATATGGGAAATATAGCAAATTCTTTAAAACCCTTCTTCTGTAGGTATTCTTCTTCTGTAGGAATGAAAGGTTTGTTCAATATTTGGTCAGAAGCATTCTTGGGGGAAGGGAACACATTTTGTATAAATGGTGGGTCTGGCCCCCCTAGGGACTGAGGGGCAGGGCTCAATAGGGGAAATATAGCAAATTCTTTAAAATCCTTCTTCTTCAGTAGGAATNCCCCCCCACACACACACACCTGGGGGCTGAGGGGGTGGGGCCCCATAGGGGAAATATAGCAAATTCTTCAAATTCCTTCTTCTTCTGTAGGAATAAAAGGATTTGTTCAATATTTGGTCAGAAGCATTCTTGGGGGAAGGAAAAACAAATTTGTATAAACTGTGGGTCTGGCCCCCCTAGAGACTGAGGGGAAGGGCTCAATAGGGGAAATTTAGCAAATTCTGTAAAATCCTTCTTATTCTGTAGGTATGAAAGGATTTGGTCAATACTTGGGCTGAAGCATTCTTGGGTGAAGGGGAACCAATTTTGTATAAACGGTGGATCTGGCCCCCAAGGGGCCTGAGGGGCGGGGCCCAATAGGGGAAACATAGCAAATTATCTTTAAAATCCTTCTTCTTCTGAAGGAATGAAAGGATTTGTTCAATATTTGGTCTGAAGCACCCTTGGGGGAAGGGGAACAAATTTTGTATAAATGGTGGGTCTGGCCCCCCTAGGGGCTGAGGGGCAGGGCTCTTCTTCTGTAGGAATGAAAGGATTTGTTCCACATTTGGTCTGAAGCATCCTTGGGTGAAGGGGAACCAATTTTGTATAAACCATGGGTCTGGCCTACTAGGTGCCTGAGTGACAGGGCCCAATAGGGGAAACATAGCAAATTCTGTAAAATCCTTCTTATTCTGTAGGTATGAAAGGATTTGGTCAATACTTGGGCTGAAGCATTCTTGGGTGAAGGGGAACCAATTTTGTATAAACGGGAGATCTGGCCCCCAAGGGGCCTGAGGGGCGGGGCCCAATAGGGGAAACATAGCAAATTATTCTTTAAAATCCTTCATCTTCTGAAGGAATGAAAGGATTTGGTCCATATTTGATGTGGAGCATCCTTGGGTAAATTGAATGGAAACCAATTTTGTACAAACGGTGGGTCTGCCCCTCCAGGAGGCTGAGGGGTGGGGCCCCATAGGGGAAATATAGAAAATTCTGTAAAACCCTTCTTTTTCTGTAGGAATGAAAGGATTTGTTCAATATTTGGTCTGAAGCATCCTTGGGGGAAGGGGAACACATTTTGTATACATGGTGGGTCTGGCCCCCCCTAGGGGCTGATGGGCAGGGCCCAATTGGGGGAAAATAGCAAATTCTTTAAAACCCTTCTTCTTCTGTAGGAATTCCTCTTCTGCAGGAATGAAAGGATTTGTTTAATATTTGGTCAGAAGCATTCTTTGGGGAAGGGGAACAAATTTTGTATAAATGGTGGGTCTGGCCCCCTTAGGGGCTGAGGGGCAGGGCTCAATAGGGGAAATATAGCAAATTCTTTAAAATCCTTCTTCTTCAGTAGGAATTAAAGGATTTGTTCCACATTTGGTCTGAAGCATCCTTGGGTGAAGGGGAACCAATTTTGTATAAACGGTGGATCTGGCCCCCCTGGGGGCTGAGGGGCAGGGCCCAATTGGGGAAATATAGCAAATTCTTTAAAATCATTTATCTTCTGTAGGAATAAAAGCATTTGTTCGATATTTGATGGGAAGCATCCTTGAGTAAAGTGAAACCAATTTTGTATAAACGATGGTTGTTGCCCCCTGGGACCTGAGGGGCGGGGCCCAATAGGGAAAATAGAGGCAAAAACTTTATAATCCTTCTTCTACCATAGGGATTAAGGGTTTTTATCCTAATTAGGTCAGGAGCATCCTTGGGCAAAAGGGACTCAATTTCGTATAAACAGTGAGTGTGGCCCCCCTGGAGGCAGAAGGGAGTAGGGGCCCAATAGGGGAAACATAGCAAATTATTCAAAATCATTTTTCTTCTTTAGGAATGACAGGATTTTGTCCAAATTTAGTCTGGAGCATCCTTTGGCCAAGGGGACTCAATTTTGTATAAGCAATAGGTGTGGTCTCCAAGGGGGCAGAAGAGTCTGGGCCCAATAGGGGAAATAGGGGTAAACCTTTAAAATCCTTCTTCTACCATAGGGATGAAGGGATTTCTTCCCAATTTGGTCTGGATGATCTTGGACAAAAGGGACACAATTTTGTATAAACAGTGAGTGTGGCTCCTCTGAGGGTAGAAGGGTGGGCTTCAATAGGGAAAACTTAGCAAATTCTTCAAATACCTTCTTCTGTACGAATGACAGGATTTCATCCTTATTTAGTCTGGAGCATCCTTGGGCCAAGGGGACTCAATTTTGTATAAATGGTGGGTATTTTACAAAGGTACAAGATCTAAATAAGTTGCACATTACGTTCACAGACTACAATTTTAATTAACAGTCAATCTGGCATGCTATATGTTTAAAGAGGACTTCATATTTCGTGTTATGCTTGGATGCTGAGAATATACCACTTCATAATGCAATATACTATAGACAATAGGTAAATTCAAACGCTTATCTTATGTTTACCTCTGTATCATCAACCTCATCTGCAAACTTAACATCAAAAAATGAAAATACACAGCATTCTTTCCAAACTTTTGCACAAACAAACATAAATTGGTACTTGCAACATATCAGACATGAATCCCAGGGATGGCTAATGTTTCGCAGCACTCAACTACGTGCATATTATTATAGTGTCTAGGCATAACCTTACCTCATCACAGATTTTAAAATATTGTTTATTATCAATTTACATTAACTTTGTATTCCTTCATCCCAGCATGTTACTGGAAAAGTATCATCATCTGAAGCCTTTTGGTTCTTCAGTAGTCCTTTGAAAGTGCATATTTGGTTAAGACTCCATACCAGGAACCTACCTACCTGTTTTCAATATCATATCTAGGCCCTTCAGTTCTTCAGAGAACGTTGGTTTAGATTTTCTCAAACACAGTTATTTGCAAACTTGGTCTCTAAGCTACCTTCCTAATATTTGACTAAAGCTTAAAAGAAGTTGTTTAAAGTTTTAATTCATTTGACCCCCATGACCTTTAATATCAGTCAAGGCCACTTTTGTTCTTAAACTTTGTTTGGCTCCATCCCAAGAAGCTACCAGCATAATATCATGATTCTAGGACTTTTGGTTCCTAAGGAGATGCCATGCCACATTTTAAGAATGGTACCTGTTGCCCCCATTACATGATCGTAAGAGGCAACTAAATTTGGGATCTTATCTTTTCTCTTCTTTCTAAACAACTTTCTTCTTCCTAATGTCACCCTTGACAATGCCTCACTTTTGGCCTTTAGTTGAGCGTTCACCCTTTTGAGGAAGGATTTGGGTTTTGTCTCCTGGCGGGGACATACCTTAGTCTGTAAAAAAGGTAGTTTCTACTCCTGCTTAACACTCAGCAATTTAGGAGTGTGACGACTGGTTCGCTCAGTGTCAGTATAATGTGACCGGGTGGGTTGTCCTGCTGGGTGTCTGCGGAAGCATGTTTCAGTGAGGTAGCACTATAAAGTCGGCATCAGTTCCGCGCTATTACAAGGAGACAAACACGAACATATCGCAGCCTCCTAAAACACACACGCAAACATTACACGCAGAGGAGGCTTTCCTTAAATGACCATAGCTGTTGATAGGACGTTAAACAATACTAAACCAAACCAAACCAAACAGGCAGGTGAGCTAAAAGAATCACTCTTCCAGTTAGACATTTCTGTTACACATTAGGTAAGGAAATCTTCTATTAAGTCTTTGTTAAACAGGATATAGTTTCAATTAGCTAAACATACCTGGTCGTTCACTGGAGGGACTGTGGGAAGAGGGCGAGAACCTCCTCCTGTTGAGTAAATAAAATCCAAGTTATTTATACAGAATATACACCTTCAATTACTTTTTGTTAACTTATACAACTTCTGATAGTTCAACAAACTTTTTCTTAGATAAGTTCTTTCCAGTTTATTTTTTTTTCCAAATATTTCCCAAATGTATCTAAATAATCTCCACTGAAATAGATGTTAAAGAAGCAGTGTTATTTCGATGTTATTTTCTTAAAATTAAATAAATTATGAGAGTTACACTGCCTTACATATAAAACACCTAAAAGGACAATTTCTAAATCTCCAGAAAAGTGTCATTCAACAAGAAAAACAATGGTCTAATGGTCAATGTCTAACTAAAAAAAAAAAAAAAAAAATTACTAGGATATCCACACTGATTGCCAACTTGATGTGGTCGAAGGGCTTGCACATTTAAATATTTAACCAGAAAGCTTTATTTGTCAGAAACCACTGTGTCAGACTGGTCAAATAAGGGTAGGGACCAGACAATGAAAATTCCTCAAATCAAAAGGGAGGGACCAGACAATGAGAAATCCTCCAATTAAAGGAGAGGGACTAGACAATGAGGAGTCCTCCGATCAAAAGGGAGGCACCAGGCAATGAGGAATCCTCCAATCAAAGGTGAGGGAGCAGACAATGAGTAATTATCCAATCAAAGGGGAGGGACCAGACAATGAGAAATCCTCAAATCAAAAGGGAGGGACCAGACAATGAGAAATCCTCCAATTAAAGGAGAGGGACTAGACAATGAGGAGTCCTCCGATCAAAAGGGAGGCACCAGGCAATGAGGAATCCTCCAATCAAAGGTAAGGGAGCAGACAATGAGTAATTATCCAATCAAAGGGGAGGGACCAGACAATGAGAAATCCTCCTATCAAAGGCGAGAGACCAAACAATGAGCAATCCTCCAATCAAAGGGGAGAGACCAGACAATGAGCAATCCTCTTACCAAAGGGGAGAGACCAGACAATGAGCAATTCTCCATTCATGGGGAGGGACCAGACAATGAGCAATCCTCCTACCAAAGGGGAGAGACCAGACAATGAGCAATCCTCCAACCAAAGGGGAGAGACCAGGCAATGAGCAATTCTCCAATCAGGGGGAGGGACCAGACAATGAGCAATCCTCCAATAAAACAAGAGGGACCTGACAATGAGCAATCCACCAATCAAAAAGGGGAGGGAACAGACAATGAGTATCCTCCAATCAAAGGGGAGGGAACAGACAATGAGCAATCCTGCTATCAAACGGGAGGGACCAGACAATGAGCAATCCTCCCATCAAAGGGGAAGGACCTGACAATACGAAGTCCTCCAGTCAAAGGGGAAGGACGAGGCAATGAGCTATCCTCTAACTAAAGGGGAAGGAACTGACAATAAAGAGTCCTCCAATCAAAGGGAGTGACCAGACAATGAGAAATCCTCCTACCAAAGGGAAGAGACCAGGCTACGATAAATGCTCCAATCAAACGAGAAGGGAAAGACAATGAGCAATCCCCCACTTAAAGGGGAGGGACCAGACAATGAGATATCCTCCAATCAAAGGGGAGGGACTAGACAATGAGAAATCCTGCAATCAAAGAGGAAGGACCAGACAATGATCAATCCTCCTATCAAATGGGAGGGACCAGGCTATGATAAATGCTCAAATCAAACGAGGAGGAACAGACAATGAGTAATCCCCCACTTAAAGGGGAGGGAACAGATAATGAGCTATCCTCAAATCAAATGGGAGGGACCAGACAATGAGGTATCCTCCTATCAAAGGAGAGGGACTAGACAATGAGGAGTCCTCTGATCAAAAGGGAGGCACCAGTCAATGAGGAATCCTCCAATCAAAGGTGAGGGAACAGACAATGAATAATTATCCAATCAAAGGGGAGGGACCAGACAATGACGAATCCTCCTATCAAAGGGGAGAGACCAGACAATGACAAATCCTCCTATCAAAGGGGAGAGACCAGGCTATGATAAATGCTCCAATCAAACGAGAAGGGAAAGACAATGAGCAATCCCCCACTTAAAGGGGAGGGACCAGAATTGAGATATTCTCCAATCAAAGGGGAGGGACTAGACAATGAGAAATCCTGCAATCATAGAGGAAGGACCAGACAATGAGCAATCCTCCAATCAAAGGGGAGGGACCAGACAATGAAAAATCCTCCAATCAAAGGAGAGGGACCAGACCATGATCAATCCTCCTATCAAATGGGAGGGACCAGGCTATGATAAATGCTCAAATCAAACGAGGAGGAACAGACAATGAGTAATCCCCCAGTTAAAGGGGAGGGAACAGATAATGAGCTATCCTCAAATCAAATGGGAGGGACCAGACAATGAGGTATCCTCCTATCAAAGGAGAGGGACTAGACAATGATGAGTCCTCCGATCAAAAGGGAGGCACCAGTCAATGAGGAATCCTCCAATCAAAGGTGAGGGACCAGACAATGAATAATTATCCAATCAAAGGGGAGGGACCAGACAATGATGAATCCTCCTATCAAAGGGGAGAGACCAGACAATGACAAATCCTCTTATCAAACGAGAAGGACCAGACAATGAGAAATCCTTCTATCAAATAAGAGTGACCAGACAATGAGCAATTTTCCAATCAAAAGGGATGAACCAGTCAATGAGGAATCCTCCAATCAAAGGGGAGGGACCAGACAATGAGTAATTATCCTATCAAAGGGGAGGGACCAGACAATGAGTAATTATCCTATTAAAGGGAGGGACCAGGCAATGAGGAATCCTCCAATCAAAGGGGAGAGACCAAACGATGAGCAATTCTTCAATCAAAGGGAGGGACCAGGCAATGAGCAATCCTCCAATCAAAGAGGAGAGACCAAACGATGAGCAATCCTCCAATCAAAGGGGAGGGACCAGACAATGAGATATCCCCCAATCAAACGGAAGGGACCAGACATGAGCAATCCTCTAATCAAAAGGGATGGCCAGGATGATGAGCAAGTCTCTAATCAAACGGGAGGGACCAGGCGATGAGCAATTCTCCAATCAAATGGAAGGGACCGAACAATGAGCAATTCGTCAATCAAAGGGTTGGACCAGACAATGAGCAATCCTCGAACCAAAGGGGTGGGACCAGACAATGACAAATCCTCCAATCAAAGCACAGGGACCAGACAATGAGTGATTATCCAATCAAAAGGGAGGCACCAGGCAATGAGGAATCCTCCGATCAAAGGCGAGAGACCAAACAATGAGCAATCCTCCAATCAAAGGGGAGATACCAGACAATAAGCAATCCTCCAATCAAAGGGAGGCACCAGACAATAAGCAATTTTTCAATAAAAAGGTATGGACCAGAAAATGAGGAGTCCTCCGATCAAAAGGGAGGCACCAGGCAATGAGGAATCCTTCAATCAAAGGTGAGGGACCAGACAATGAATAATTATCCTATCAACCGGGAGGGACCAGACAATGAGAAATCCTTCTATCAAATAAGAGTGACCAGACAATGAGCAATTTTCCAATCAAAAGGGATGGACCAGACAATGAGGAGTCCTCCAATCAAAAGGGAGGAACCAGGCAATGAGGAATCCTCCAATCAAAGGGGAAAGACCAAACGATGAGCAATTCTCCAATCAAAGGGAGGGACCAGGCAATGAGCAATCCTCCAATCAAAGGGGAGAGACCAAACGATGAGCAATTCTCCAATCAAAGGGAGGGACCAGACAATGAGCAATCATCCAATCAAAGGGGAGGGACCAGACAATGAGATATCCCCCAATCAAATGGAAGGGACCAGACATGAGCAATCCTCTAATAAAAAGGGATGGCAAGGATGATGAGCAAGTCTCTAATCAAACGGGAGGGACCAGGCGATTACCAATTCTCCAATCAAATGGAAGGGACCAGACAATGAGCAATTCGTCAATCAAAGGGTTGGACAAGACAATGAGCAATCCTCCAACCAAAGGGGTGGGACCAGACAATGAGAAATCCTCCAATCAAAGGGGTGGGACCAGACAATGAGAAATCCTCCAATCAAAGGGGAGATACCAGACAATAAGCAATCCTCCAATCAAAGGGAGTGACCAGACAATAAGCAATTTTCCAATCAAAAGGTATGGACCAGACAATGAGGAGTCCTCCAATCAAAAGGGAGGAACCAGGCAATGAGGAATTCTCCAATAAAAGGGGAAAGACCAAACGATGAGCAATTCTCCAATCAAAGGGAGGGACCAGGCAATGAGCAATCCTCCAATCAAAGGGGAGAGACCAAACATTGAGCAATTCTCCAATCAAAGGGAGGGACCAGACAATGAGCAATCATCCAATCAAAGGGGAGGGACCAGACAATGAGATATCCCCCAATCAAACGGAAGGGACCATACATGAGCAATCCTCTAATAAAAAGGGATGGCCAGGATGATGAGCAAGTCTCTAATCGAACGGGAGGGACCAGGCGATGAGCAATTCTCCAATCAAAGGGAGGGACCAGACAATGAGCAATTCGTCAATCAAAGGGTTGGACCAGACAATGAGCAATCCTCAGACCAAAGGGATGGGACAGACAATGAGAAATCCTCCAATCAAAGGACAGGGACCAGACAATGAGTGATTATCTAATCAAAAGGGAGGCACCAGGCAATGAGGAATCCTCCGATCAAAGGCGAGAGACCAAACAATGAGCAATCCTCCAATCAAAGGGAGGGACCAGACAATAAGCAATTATTCCAATCAAAAGGTATGGACCAGACAATGAGGAGTCCTCCGATCAAAAGGGAGGCACCAGGCAATGAGGAATTCTCCAATCAAAGGTGAGGGACCAGACAATGAATAATTATCCTATCAAACGGGAGGGACCAGACAATGAGCAATTCTCCAATCAAAAGGGATGGACCAGACAATAAGCAATCCTCCAATCAAAGGGAGGGACAGACAACCTCCTATCAAACGGGGGGGACCAGGCTATGAGAAATGCTCCAATCAAACGGGGAGGGACAGACATTGAGCAATCCTCCACTTAAAGGGGAGGGACCAGAGAATGAGTTAATCCTCCAATTAAACGGAAGGGACCAGACATGAGCAATCCTCTAATCAAAAGGGATGGCCAGGACGATGAGAAAGTCTCAAATCAAACTGGAGGGACAAGACGATGAGCAATTCTCCAATCAAAGGGGAGAGACCAGACAATGAGCAATTCTTCAATCAAAGGGGAGGGACCAGACAATGAGCAATTCTTCAATCAAAGGGGAGGGACCAGACAATGAGCAATCCTCCAATCAAAGGGGAGGGACCAGACAATGAGCAATTCTCCAATCAAAGGGGAGGGACCAGACAATGAGTAATTATCCAATCAAAAGGGAGGCACCAGGCAATGAGGAATCCTCCAATCAAAGGGGAGGGACCAGACAATGAGCAATTATCCAATCAAAAGGGAGGCACCAGGCAATGAGGAATCCTCCAATCAAAGGGGTGGGACCAGACAATGAGAAATCCTCCAATCAAAGCTGAGGGACCAGACAATGAGTAATTATCCAATCAAAAGGGAGGCACCAGGAAATGAGGAATCCTCCTATCAAAGGCGAGACACCAACAATGAGCAATCCTCCAATCAAAGGGGGGAGACCAAACAATGAGCAATCCTCCAATCAAAGGGGAGTAACCAGACAATTAGAAATCCTCCTATAAAACAGGAGGGACCAGACAATGATAAATCCTTCTATCAAACGGGAGAGACCAGACAATGAGCAATTCTCCAATCAAAAGGGATGGACCAGACAATAAGCAATCCTCCTATCAGACGGGAAGGACAGACAACCTCCTATCAAACGGGAGGGACCAGACTATGAGAAATGCTCCAATCAAATGGGGAGGGACAGACATTGAGCAATCCTCCACTTAAAGGGGAGGGACCAGACATGAGCAATCCTCTAATCAAAAGGGATGGCCAGGACGATGAGAAACTCTCAAATCAAACTGGAGGGACAAGAAGATGAGCAATTCTCCAATCAAAGGAAGGGACCAGACAATGAGTAATTATCCTATCAAAGGGGAGGGACCAGGCAATGAGCAATTCTCCAATCAAAGGGAGGGACCAGACAATGAGTAATTATCCTATCAAAGGGGAGGGACCAGGCAATGAGCAATTCTCCAATCAAAGGGAGGAACCAGACAATGAGTAATTATCCTATCAAAGGGAGGAACCAGACAATGAGCAATTCTCCAATCAAAGGGAGGAACCAGACAATGAGTAATTCTCCAATCAAAGGGAGGAACCAGACAATGAGCAATCCTCCAATCAAAGGGGAGGGACCAGACATGAGCAATCCTCTAATCAAAAGGGATGGCCAGGATGATGAGAAAGTCTCAAATCAAACTGGAGGGACAAGACAATGAGCAATTCTCCAATCAAAGGGAGGGACCAGACAATGAGTAATTATCCAATCAAAAGGGAGGGACCAGACAATGAGTAATTATCCAATCAAAAGGGGAGGGACCAGACAATGAGCAATTCTCCAATCAAAGGGAGGGACCAGACAATGAGTAATTATCCAATCAAAAGGGAGGCACCAGGCGATGAGGAATCCTCCTATTCAAAGGGGGAGTCCAAACAATGAGCAATTCTCCAATCAAAGGGGAGGAACCAGACAATGAGAAATCCTCCAATCAAAGGGAGGGACCAGACAATGAGCACTTTTCCAATCAAAAGGGATGACTCAGACAATGAGGAGTCCTCCGATCAAAAGGGAGCCACCAGGCAATGAGGAATCCTCCAATCAAAGGGGAGGGACCAGACAATGAGTAATTATCCAATCAAAGGGAGGGACCAGACAGTTAGCAATCCTCCAATCAAAGGGGACAGGCCAAACGATGAGCATTTTTCAATTCAAAAGGAGCGACCAGACAATGAGCAATCCTCCATATCTATCAAAGGGGAGGGACCAGACAATGAGCAATTCTCCAATCAAAGGGGAGGGACCAGACAATGAGCAATCCTCCAATCAAAGGGTAGGGACCAGACAATGAGCAATCCTCCAATCACACGAGGAGGGACAGACAATGAGCAATCTCCCACTTAAAGGGGAGGGACCAAACAATGAGATATCCTCCAATCAAAGGGTAGAGACCAGACAGTGAGAAATTCTCCACTTAAAGGGGAGGAACCAGACAATGAGATATCCTCCAATCAAAGGGGAGGGACCAGACAGTGAGAAATCCTCCAATCAAGGGAGAGGGACTAGACAATGAGAAATCCTCCACTTAAAGGGGAGGGACCAGACAATGAGATATCCTCCAATCAAAGGGGAGGGACCAGACAGTGAGAAATCCTCCAATCAAGGGAGAGGGACTAGACAATGAGAAATCCTCCAATCAAAGGTGAGGGACCAGACAATGAGTAATTATCCAATCGAAAGGGAGGCACCAGGCAATGAGGAATCCTCCTATCAAAGGAGGGAGACCAAACAATGAGCAATCCTCCAATCAAAGGGGAGGGACCAAACAATGAGAAATCATCCTATTAAACGGGAGGGACCAGACAATGAGCAATTCTCCAATCAAAAGGGATGGACCAGACAAGAAGCAATCATCCTATCAGACGGGAAGGACAGACAACCTCCTATCAAATGGGAGGGACCAGGCTATGTGAAATGCTCCAATCAAACGGGGAGGAACAGACATTGAGCAATCCACCACTTAAGGGGAGGGACCAGAGAATGAGTTAATCCTCCAATTAAATGGAAGGGACCAGACATGAGCAATCCTCTAATCAAAAGGAATGGCCAGGATGATGAGAAAGTCTCAAATCAAACCGGTGGGACAAGACGCTGAGCAATTCTCCAATCAAAGGGAGGGACCAGACAATGAGCAATTCTCCAATCAAAGGGGAGGGACCAGACAATGAGCAATTTTCCAATCAAGGGGAGGGACCAGACAATGAGCACTTTTCCAATCAAAAGGGATGACTCAGACAATGAGGAGTCCTCCGATCAAAAGGGAGCCACCAGGCAATGAGGAATCCTCCAATCAAAGGGGAGGGACCAGACAATGAGTAATTATCCAATCAAAGGGAGGGACCAGACAGTTAGCAATCCTCCAATCAAAGGGGACAGGCCAAACGATGAGCATTTTTCAATTCAAAAGGAGCGACCAGACAATGAGCAATCCTCCATATCTATCAAAGGGGAGGGACCAGACAATGAGCAATTCTCCAATCAAAGGGGAGGGACCAGACAATGAGCAATCCTCCAATCAAAGGGTAGGGACCAGACAATGAGCAATCCTCCAATCACACGAGGAGGGACAGACAATGAGCAATCTCCCACTTAAAGGGGAGGGACCAAACAATGAGATATCCTCCAATCAAAGGGTAGAGACCAGACAGTGAGAAATTCTCCACTTAAAGGGGAGGAACCAGACAATGAGATATCCTCCAATCAAAGGGGAGGGACCAGACAGTGAGAAATCCTCCAATCAAGGGAGAGGGACTAGACAATGAGAAATCCTCCACTTAAAGGGGAGGGACCAGACAATGAGATATCCTCCAATCAAAGGGGAGGGACCAGACAGTGAGAAATCCTCCAATCAAGGGAGAGGGACTAGACAATGAGAAATCCTCCAATCAAAGGTGAGGGACCAGACAATGAGTAATTATCCAATCGAAAGGGAGGCACCAGGCAATGAGGAATCCTCCTATCAAAGGAGGGAGACCAAACAATGAGCAATCCTCCAATCAAAGGGGAGGGACCAAACAATGAGAAATCATCCTATTAAACGGGAGGGACCAGACAATGAGCAATTCTCCAATCAAAAGGGATGGACCAGACAAGAAGCAATCATCCTATCAGACGGGAAGGACAGACAACCTCCTATCAAATGGGAGGGACCAGGCTATGTGAAATGCTCCAATCAAACGGGGAGGAACAGACATTGAGCAATCCACCACTTAAGGGGAGGGACCAGAGAATGAGTTAATCCTCCAATTAAATGGAAGGGACCAGACATGAGCAATCCTCTAATCAAAAGGAATGGCCAGGATGATGAGAAAGTCTCAAATCAAACCGGTGGGACAAGACGCTGAGCAATTCTCCAATCAAAGGGAGGGACCAGACAATGAGCAATTCTCCAATCAAAGGGGAGGGACCAGACAATGAGCAATTTTCCAATCAAGGGGAGGGACCAGACAATGAGCACTTNTGTGCGAAGGGGGGGGGGGGGACCAAACAATGAGCAATCCTCCAATCAAAGGGGAGAGACCAGACAATGAGCAATCCTCCAATCCCTTTTACTATGTGCCATTACAGCATATGGCATTGAGTATATACAACAATGTGTGTAATGTACCCTGCAATGGGTGGGATCTGTCTCTCCTATCATATCATTGTGTTCCCAATATGTTCTCTATTTTGTTTCAGTGATGTCTCCTTAGGCATCTGTCATCATATGACCAGAGCTGGGTGGGGGGTAAAATGTGTCGTGTTACCGTTTGGAGGGGGTGGGGTAAATTGTGTCATGTAACTGTTTGGGGGAGGTGGGGTAAAATGTGCCTTGTTACCTTTCGAGGGTGGTGAGGTAATATGTGTCTTGTTACCTTTTGGGTGGGGGGGGAATATGTGTCGTGTAACCTTTCCTGGTTGGTGAGGTAAAATGTGCCTTGTTACCTTTCGAGGGTGGTGAGGTAATATGTGTCTTGTTACCTTTTGGGTGGGGGGGGGGAATATGTGTCGTGTAACCTTTCCTGGTTGGTGAGGTAAAATGTGCCTTGTTACCTTTCGGGGTAGTGAGGTAAAATGAGTCATGTTACCTTTCGGGGGTGGTGGCAGACTCCTGGGTGGGACCCTCTCTACCACTGGCTCCTTTTTGGGCTCCTTTTTATTGGACTTTAGGACAGGTGGAGTTTCTGCTTGTTGAGGTGGCAACCTGAACTGGGATGCAAATCCTACAACATTCATACATATGTAACAGATCTGGATCTCCATATGTTTGCTTCATTAACCATTACAGTAATCTACTCCTAGAGGCTGTACATATCAAACACAAATAGATCATGCTGTATGTTCAATTGACTTGCCCCATGATGTTTTACATTTTCATCAAAACCACTATCAAATATTAACTGGAAGATAGTTGTGATATTTTCAGTGCTATCATGGAATACTTATTTGTCCTTAGTGAATTTTTGTTTACACATGAATAATTACATCTATGAATTTAAAAAACAAGAGGCCCAAGGGCCTTAGCGGTCACCTGAGTTATATCATAGGTACTGGTAGCTTTATTTTATTGTTTAGATGCGATGTGGAAACCAGCATGTAAACTAAGTGAAATAAAATACTGTCATCAAAGGATAAGAATTTGAAAATATTGGTAAATGTTCCCTTTGGGCCCAACCCTAACCCCTGGGGATGGGGCAGGATTCCCAATTTTACAAAGTAATACTCTCATTCACCAAAGATGATTCTGACTAAGTTTGAGTAATTTTCTGCTGAAAATGGATAAAATATATACCCAAAAGTGTTATTTCCCTATATAAACTATAGTAAACTTTACCCCCTCCCCAAGGGAGAACGGATAGCTCCTGAAATTTACAATTTAAGTAGAGCCCCTGATGATCTTTCTTTCCATGTAGAGAAAATGAGTGGAGTACCCTGAGTCTGGAGAAGAAGATTTTTGAAATATTGGTTAATTTTCCCTTTGGTGCCCCGCCCTGGCCACAGGGGTAGGGGTAGGAATCCCAATTTTACAATTTTGTAGCCTCATCTACCAAGGATGATTCTGATCAAGTTTGAACAAAAATCCATCCACTGGTTCTTGAGTTGAAGTTGAAAATGTAAAAAGTTTACGGACGACGAAGGAAGGAATTAGGATAGGTCACTTGAGCAAAGCTCAGGTGAACTAAAATTCGAAGAATTATTACACACATGTTCCATTAACATAGAAATTATATATACCAAACTTAAGAAATTATTTAACTATAATATACCTGGTGTATTTGGGAGATCTCTGTTACCCCGGTTCACAGGGGCTGAAAACACAGACAACATGTCAATCAGATAGGGGAAATAAATGCTTTATAATTAAAAAGCATTTCAATATTTAATGTCTAAAACAGAAACAACAGGAAATGGAAGTACATTAGCAAGATGTAACATAAGGGGCTACAAAGTATACTAGGTAGTGCATTTCACTATTGACTGGAAAGATCGTCAGTTCACTTTCCCCAATCGGCGATACAGCAGAGTATTATATGCTCTCTGTTGGATATAAAAATTCTAAGCTTGATTATATAAATTCCGGTGGTATAGCATTCTGAATGAGCCTTTTGAAATAATGACAAACAAGTAAAATATATATGCAACCTCCAACACACACACACATATATGTGCCAAATGTCATCACCCTAGGTCTTTTAGTAATGCAGAAGAGGTTGTTGAAAAATTATTTTTAGGCCACTTCAATCAGAAAAGCAGTCCATAAAATTTAAATTTTTACATTTCAAATGGAAACAAAAGAAGCTACAAAAACATGCAACTTCCCAATCAAGAAGAGATAGGATCCACATACTATACTTCAGATCAGTGGTGTATTTTATAAAATTGGAATATAGTAGTTTCTTTTACTTTTCACAAAAACGGTCAGTGTTCGTCCTCATCCAAGCCACCATCCAATATAATTAAAAGACACTTGTGATTTGCTGTGAAATGACAATAGTATTGTCATTCCCTGTATTCTGGTTTAAACGTTTAATTCTAGTGCTTTTTGATTTTTCGGGGTGGGATACCTGAAATATCTATGTTATCTCTCTCCTCTAGAGCACATTTCCCCCTTATTTTCTCGCTAAAGAAAGAGGAAGTGTGATCACAGTCACATATAGGCTTCAGTTTCTAGGCTTATTCAAACACAATGAAGGCTGCAATCACAATATTCCAATAAAAAGATGTGAAAAGTGACAGAAATTTCGGGAATCAGCAGCAATACGACAAAATCATACAGTGAATAGGCAAAGTTGTAAGGCATGTTTTTTTATGTTAAAATCGTAAGAATTTGGCAAAAAAAGGAATGGTTGGCAACTCTCCATGGTACTGCCACTATATGAAAAGTTTCAAAGAAATCTATAGAAAAATGAGCAATGCATAGCAGGACAAATTTGTCAATTTTGTTTACGTAAAGGGGCATACCTCTCTTAAAAAGGTCCAAAACACAAAATTATTTGAGGGGGCACAACTACATATGGTACTGTCACTACACACAAAAAATCAGAAGAAATCTCTTGAAAAATAAGCGAATGCATACGGAGACAAATTTTGTCTACGGAAGAGCTATAGTGGGGGTGGGGTATAAATATATAGAAATTCATGTAGTCAAGCAAATAAAGGTTAGTGTTTTTCAAAATATTATAAAATAAATTCTGACAATTATTTTGCATCTGTTATACCTTTTGGGAGATCTCTGCTACCACGGTTCACAGGGGGAGGTGCTACAAAATTAATGTAAGTAACATTTCAGTAATAAAAATTGAGGTATTTTAATTACATGCAACATGACAGGAACAGAAAAGAAGGAGCTACACTGACATGATGCATCAGATCAACTAAGAAAGAGGGAAGATACAAAAAACAGTCTGTGACATGCTTCAAACATAACAATCAGGGACAAGGGTCCAGATCTAAAAACATAACAATCAGGGAAAAGAGTTGGAACTACAAACATAACAATCAGGGAAAAGGGTTGGAACTACAAACATAAGAGGCCCAGAGGGCCTGTATCGCTCACCTGAATATTTAAGCAGTCAAAGCAAAATATTCTCATTAAATATTATATTGCACTACAGATATTTCCCTAGCAAACTTTGTTGGCTCCATCTGTTGAAACTACCAGCCAAATATTATTACAAGATTCTATGCTTTTTGGTTCTTCTTCAGATGTTGTTTGACATATTTTCCGCTGTGACCTTGTAAGTGATCAATGTCATTTTCCTCCTCTATCTTTGTTAGCTCTATCTCAAAAAGCTACCAGCCAAAACTTATGATTCCATTCCTTTTGGTTCTTCAGAACAAATCCTTTGAAATGTTGTTGACCTCTGTGACCTTTAGAGTAGGTTGAGGTCATTTTCATCTGCAAACTTTGGTGAGCTCTATCCTAGAAAGCCACCAGCCAAATATAATAGTTTTATGCCTTTTGATTATTCAGAAGAAGTCGTTTGATGTTTCTGACATATTTGACACCTGTGACCTTGAAAGTAAGTCAATCATGACAATCAGGGAAAAGAGTTGGAACTACAATCATGACAATCAAGGAACAAATTTGGAGCTACAAACATGACAATCAGGAAAATGATTTGGAAATACAAACATGACAATCAGTGAAAAGAGTTGAAACTACAAACATGATAATCAGGGAAAGTATTTGGAACTACAAACATGACGATTGGGGAAAAGGGTTGGAGCTACGAGCATGACAATCAGGGAAAAGATTTGGAACTACAATCATCACAATCAAGGAAATGATTTGGAACTACAAACATGACAATTAGAGAAAAGATTTGGAACTACAAACATGACAATCAGGGAAAAGAGTTGGAAATACAATCATCACAATCAAGGAAATGACTTGGAACTACAAACATGACAATTAGAGAAAATATTTGAAACTACAAACATGACATTCAGGGAAAAGGGTTGGAGCTACGAGCATGACAATCAGGGAAAAGATTTGGAATTACAAACATGACATTCAGGGAAAAGGGTTGGAGCTACGAGCATGACAATCAAGTAAAAGATTTGGAACTACAAACATGACGATCGGGGAAAAGGGTTGGAACTACAAACATGACGATCGGGGAAAAGAGTTGGAACTACAAACACAACAATCAGGGAAAAGGGTTGGAGCTAGGAACATGACTATCAAGGAAAAGATTTGTAACTACAAACATGACTATCAAGGAAAAGATTTGTAACTACAAAGATGATGATCGGGGAAAAGGGTTGGAACTACAAACATGATGATCGGGGAAAAGAGTTGGAACTACAAACACAACAATCAGGGAAAAGGGTTGGAGCTACGAACATGACAATCAGGGAAAAGATTTGTAACTACAAACATGACTATCAAGGAAAAGATTTGTAACTACAAACATGATGATCGGGGAAAAGTGTTGGAGCTACAAACATGATGATCGGGGAAAAGGGTTGGAACTAAAAACATGACGATCGGGGAAAGGGGTTGGAACTACAAACACAACAATCAGGGAAAAGAGCTGGAACTACAAACATAATGATCGGGAAAAAGGGTTGGAACTACAAACATGACGATCGGGGAAAAGATTTGGAACTACAAACACAACAATCAGGGAAAAGAGCTGGAACTACAAACATGATGATCAGGGAAAAGAGTTGGAACTAAAAACATGACGATCGGGGAAAAGAGTTGGAACTACAAACATGACATTCAGGGAAAAGGGTTGGAACTACAAACATGACAATCAGTGAAAAGAGTTGGAACTACAAACACAACAATCAGGGAAAAGATTTGAAACTAAAAACATGTCAGTTAGGGAAAAGGGTTGGAACTACAAACATGACGATCAGGGAAAAGAGTTGGAACTACAAACATGATGATCAGGGAAAAGATTTGGAACTACAAACATGACAATCAGGGAAAAGAGTTGGAACTACAAACATGACGATCAGGGAAAAGATTTGGAACTACAAACATGACAATCAGGGAAAATATTTGGAACTACAAACACAACAATCAGGGAAAAGAGTTGGAACTACAAACATTATGATCAGTAAAAAGATTTGGAACTACAAACATGACAATCAGGTAAAAGAGTTGGAAATACTGTTTAAACATGACATTCAGGGAAAAGGGTTGGAACTAAAAACATGACAATCAGGGAAAAGAGTTGGAACTACCAACATGACGATCAGGGAAAATATTTGGAACTACAAACATGACAATCAGGGAAAAGGTTTGGAACTACAAACATGACAATTAGGGAAAATATTTGGAACTACAAACATGATGATCAGTAAAAAGATTTGGAACTACAAACATGACAATCAGGTAAAAGAGTTGGAAATACAAACATGACAATTAGGGGAAAGAGTTGGAACTACCAACATGACGATCAGGGAAAAGGGTTGGAACTACAAACATGACAATCAGGGAAACAATTTGGAACTAAAAACATGTCAATTAGGGAAAAGGGTTGGAACTACAAACATGACGATCGGGGAAAAGAGTTGGAACTAAAAACATGTCAATTAGGGAAAAGGGTTAGAACTACAAACATGACAATCAGTGAAAAGAGTTGGAACTACCAACATGACGATCAGGGAAAAGGGTTGGAACTACAAACATGACAATCAGGTAAAAGGAGGAGCTTCACACATGACAAACAGTGAAAAGGGTTAGAACTACAAACATGACAATCAGGGAAAATATTTGGAACTAAAAACATGACAATCAGAGAAAGAGCTGGAACTACAAACATGACAATCAGGGAAAATATTTGGAACTAAAAACATGACAATCAGAGAAAGAGCTGGAACTACAAACAAGACAATCAGGGAAAATATTTGGAACTACAAACATGACGATCAGGGAAAGAGTTGGAACTACAAACATGACAATCAGTGAAAAGATTTGGAACTACAAACATGACAATCAGGGAAAAGAGCTGGAACTACAAACATGATGATCAGGTTAAAGGTTTGGAACTAAAAACATGACGATCAGGGAAAAGAGTTGGAACTACAAACATGACATTCAGGGAAAAGGGTTTGAACTACAAACATGACAATCAGGGAAACGATTTGGAACTACAAACATGACAATTAGAGAAAAGATTTGGAACTACAAACATGACAATCAGGGAAAAGAGTTGGAAATACAATCATCACAATCAAGGAAATGATTTGGAACTACAAACATGACAATTAGAGAAAATATTTGAAACTACAAACATGACATTCAGGGAAAAGGGTTGGAGCTACGAGCATGACAATCAGGGAAAAGATTTGGAATTACAAACATGACATTCAGGGAAAAGGGTTGGAGCTACGAGCATGACAATCAAGTAAAAGATTTGGAACTACAAACATGACGATCGGGGAAAAGGGTTGGAACTACAAACATGACGATCGGGGAAAAGAGTTGGAACTACAAACACAACAATCAGGGAAAAGGGTTGGAGCTACGAACATGACTATCAAGGAAAAGATTTGTAACTACAAACATGACTATCAAGGAAAAGATTTGTAACTACAAAGATGATGATCGGGGAAAAGGGTTGGAACTACAAACATGATGATCGGGGAAAAGAGTTGGAACTACAAACACAACAATCAGGGAAAAGGGTTGGAGCTACGAACATGACAATCAGGGAAAAGATTTGTAACTACAAACATGACTATCAAGGAAAAGATTTGTAACTACAAACATGATGATCGGGGAAAAGTGTTGGAGCTACAAACATGATGATCGGGGAAAAGGGTTGGAACTAAAAACATGACAATCGGGGAAAGGGGTTGGAACTACAAACACAACAATCAGGGAAAAGAGCTGGAACTACAAACATAATGATCGGGAAAAAGGGTTGGAACTACAAACATGACGATCGGGGAAAAGATTTGGAACTACAAACACAACAATCAGGGAAAAGAGCTGGAATTACAAACATGATGATCAGGGAAAAGAGTTGGAACTAAAAACATGACGATCGGGGAAAAGAGTTGGAACTACAAACATGACAATCAGGGAAAATATTTGGAACTACAAACACAACAATCAGGGAAAAGAGTTGGAACTACAAACATACAAACATGACAATCAGGTAAAAGAGTTGGAAATACAAACATGTCAGTTAGGGAAAAGGGTTGGAACTACAAACATGACGATCAGGGAAAAGAGTTGGAACTACCAACATGACGATCAGGGAAAAGATTTGGAACTACAAACATGACAATCAGGGAAACAATTTGGAACTACAAACATGACAATTAGGGAAAATATTTGGAACTACAAACACAACAATCAGGGAAAAGAGTTGGAACTACAAACATGACAATCAGGTTAAAAGAGTTGGAAATTAGGGGTAGGAATCCCAATTTTACAGTTGGGCCTGTATCGCTCACCTGAATATTTAAGGGGGTTCACTACAAACATGACAATCAGTGAAAAGAGTTGGAACTACCAACATGACGATCAGGTAAAAGGGTTGGAACTACAAACATGACAATCGGGGAAAAGAGTTGGAACTAAAAACATGTCAATTAGGGAAAAGAGTTGGAACTACAAACATGACGATCGGGGAAAAGGGTTAGAACTACAAACATGACAATCAGTGAAAAGAGTTGGAACTACCAACATGACGATCAGGGAAAAGGGTTGGAACTACAAACATGACAATCAGGTAAAAGGAGGAGCTTCACACATGACAAACAGTGAAAAGAGTTGGAACTACAAACATGACAATCAGGGAAAATATTTGGAACTAAAAACATGACAATCAGAGAAAGAGCTGGAACTACAAACAAGACAATCAGGGAAAATATTTGGAACTACAAACATGACGATCAGGGAAAAGAGTTGGAACTACAAACATGACAATCAGTGAAAAGATTTGGAACTACAAACATGACAATCAGGGAAAAGAGCTGGAACTACAAACATGATGATCAGGTTAAGGGTTTGGAACTAAAAACATGACGATCAGGGAAAAGAGTTGGAACTACAAACATGACATTCAGGGAAAAGGGTTTGAACTACAAACATGACAATCAGGGAAACGATTTGGAACTACAAACATGACAATCAGGGAAAAGAGCTGGAACTACAAACATGACAATCAGGGAAAAGGGTTGGAGCTACAAACATGACGATCAGTGAAAAGGGTTGGAGCTACAAACATGACAATCAGGGAAAAGGGTTGGAACTACAAACATGATAATCGGGGAAAAGATTTGGAACTACAAACATGACAATTAGGGAAAAGGGTTGGAACTACAAACATGATGATCAGTGAAAAGATTTGGACCTACAAACATGACGATTAGGGAAAAGGGTTGGAACTACAAACATGATGATCAGTGAAAAGATTTGGAACTACAAACATGACAATTAGGGAAAAGGGTTGGAGCTACGAACATGACAATCAAGGGAAAAGTGTTCAGAGCTTCAAAACACACGTTTATCAAGAAATTGGTCTTGAGATACAAACAAGTCAAAGTAAGGGATAGGTATCTAAGTAAAACTGTTTTATGAACATTTTTCTTCATATAATGTAAATGTTAATAAGAACGAACAAGAAAAAAAGGCATAACCCCATTAAAATGACTAAATCACAACAATAAGGGCAAGGGCACAACTTCAAATTTTGTAAAAGTAACTTCATTGCTGTGATAGCATGGTATAACAACACAAATACAAGAGGCCCAAGAGGGCCTGTATCGCTCACCTGAATATTAAAGCAGCCATAGCAAAATATTCTCATTTAATATTATATTGCACTAAAAACATTTCCCTGGCAAACTTTGTTGGCTCCATCTGTTAAAACTACCAGCAAAATATTGTTATAAGATTCTATGCTTTTTGATTCTTCTTCAGAAGTGTCTGACACATTTGACCCCTGTGACCTTGAAAGAAGGTCAATGTCATTATCCTCAATCTTTGTCGGGCTCTATCCCAGGAAGCCATCAATCAAATATAAAGATTCTATACCTTTCAGTTCTTCAGAAGAAGTCATTTGACATATTTGACCCCTGTGACCTTGAAAGTAGGTCAAATTAATTTTCATTCCCAAACTTTGTTGGGCTCCATTCGTGGAAGCCATCAGCCAAATATGAAGATTCTATACCTTTTAGTTCTTCAGAAGAAGTCCTTTGAAGTTTTTGACATATTTGACCCCTGTGACCATGAAAGAAGGTCAAGGTCATTTTCATTTTTAAACTTTGTAGGGCTCCTACCAAAAAAGCTTTCAGCCAAATATCATGACTCTAGGCCTGTCCGTACTTCAGAAGAAGTTGTTTAAAGGAAAAGTTGACGGACGAGGATGGACGACGACGGATGGACGACGGACGCCGCACTATGACATAAGCTCACTTGCCCTTCGGGCAGGTGAGCTAACAATGTATTAGGAAAGAAGAGTAGCTACAAATAACATGTCACAGGAAAGTTTTACTACAAATACAGGTAACATCAAGTAGGAAAGTATAAGAGCCCTATACCATAAACAAGAGGCATCGAGGGCTTGTATAGCTTATCTGGATAATCAAAGAACCATGGATTTTTTTCTTATTACATATAATACATTCCAAATATTGGCTCTGGTTCTTAGCGACACCCATCCCTCATTAGGTTTTCTTCTTTCTGCCCCCATGAATTGGGGTGGATTTTAAAGCAACATTCCATTTCTACAAATTAAGTCCTGTTTGCCCAAGGATGCTCTACACAAAATTTTGTTAAAATCCATCAAATCATACTAAAGGATCAAAAGTATTTTAATAATGTTTTAATACATTCCCTCTTCTGGGCCTCGCCCTAATTGATTCTCTGGACCAAATTTTGTTAAAAACCCTCCACTGGTACAGAAGTAGAAAAAGTTCAAAGATATAAACTTCACATTCCCCTATTGCGCCCCTGTCTCCCCCTACGTTTATATAAAATTATGTCCCCTTTGCCCAAGAAAGTTCTAGGCCAAATTTGAATAAAATCCCTCCATGGTTTAAACCGAAAATTCACGTTTTTGGACTTGCCCCTCTGTACAAAGAGGGGCCACACCCTCCATTTAAGCAAACATGAGTCCCCATTGCCCAAGAATGATCCAGGCCAAATTTGGTTAAAATCCCTCCAATGTTACAGAAAAGGAAGGATTAAAAAGATTAAACCTAAAATTCACCTATTTGGCCCCACCCCTCTGCACTCAGTGGTGCCACACCCTCTGTTTATACAAAATTGAGTCCCCTTTGCATTAAGGATGATGCAAGCCTTTAGTCAAAATCCATAAAGCTATTCAGGACTAGTAGCGTTTTAAAGGAAAAGTTGATAATCGGACGGATTAACAGCACGGCATAAGCTCACCATGGTCCTTTCATTATTCCTTACTAGTCGTCAGAACTCCTTGTCATGCAAAGAAAATACCTTCCATTAATATTTACCTGCTTTGGATGTTTTTTTGTTGTCTTCCTCTGTAAATATAATAAAATTACCTTGTTGGTATTCAATCATATATGCCAGAGCATTATATATACAACCATGACTTAATAATATCAGGAATGGTACAAGTCATACTTGCATGAATTTTCTACATTAAAGCTATATAATGCACAGAATCCTTAATCCAAGTATTGATCATCTGATGTGATTTATGTTTGATAAAGATTTTAAAATAATGTATAATGTAGCAATGGGACACAATGAGTTCAGGTGACTTACCATCTGGTACAACATAGATATCATCTTCAACAAGGTTCTGTAACATAAAAATTTCACAAGTAAACTCGTATTGACAAACAGCTTATTATATATGATACAAAGTTTCTAGATAGATCTGAGGTTCGTAAATTTATACTGTATAACTTATCATAATATTTTGACAATGGTCAAAAAGTGATACAGTTTCCATGTCCCCCTAACAAGAGGACTTGATGTCTCCAAATCAACCTTTAAGGTGGATTCCTGCTGTATTTTTAGCAATATTTCACTTTTTGAACAAGGGGCCTTAGTGGCCTGCATCGCTCACCTGGTATAAAACTCACACTTGTAACCTTAAAAGTGATTTAAAATAAAGCTACAGGCAAAATATCAGTATTTATGATTAAAATTCATTCAAAAGACCCTGTTAAATTTTTTAAAAACATTTCACCCCTGTGATTGAAAGTCAAACAAAGTCATTATGATGAACACATTGTAAAGCCTTTCATTTCAGGATGCAACTTGCAAAGTATAAACATGCTAGGACCCATGGTTATTCATAACAGGTTGTTTAAAGATTTTAAACAAATTTGACCCCGGTGACCTTGAATATAAGTCAAAGTCATTCACTTTAACAAACATAGTAGTCCTTGATCCCAGCATATGCTACTGACTAAATATCAACATTCTGAGCCTTTTGGTTATTCAGAACAAGTTGTTGAAATATTTTAAACATATTTGCTCCTTGTGACCTTGAATATGGTTCAAGGTCATGCATTTAAACAAACTTTGTAGCCCTTCATCTCAGCATACTACTGGCTAAATATCATCACCCTGTGCATTTTGGTTATTCCAAAGAAGTTGTTGAAAGTTTTTCACATATTTGACACCTGTGACCTTGAATATAGGTGAAGGTCATTCATTTGAACAAACTTTGTAGCCCTTCATCTCAGCATGCAACTGGCCAAATATCATCACCCAGGGCATTTTGGTTATTCAGAAGAAGTTGTATAAAGTTTTTAACATATTTGACCACTTTGACCTTGAATATGGGTGAAGGTCATTCATTTGAACAAATTTGTAGCCCTTTATCTCAGCATGCTACTGGCCAAATATCATTACCCTGGGCATTTTGGATATTGAGAAGAAGTTGTTTAAAAAATTTAACACATTGGACCCCCTGACCTTGAATATGGGTGAAGGTCATTCATTTGAACAAACTTTGTAGCCCTTCATCTCAGCATGCAACTGGCCAAATATCATCACCCAGGGCATTTTGGTTATTCAGAAGAAGTAGTGTAAAATTTTGAACATATTTGACCCCTGTGACCTTGAATATGGGTGAAGGTTATTCATCTGAACAACTTTTGTAGCCCTTCATCTCAGCTAGCTTCTGGCCAAATATCATCACCCTGGCATTTTGGTTATTCAGAAGAAGTTGTTTAAAGATTTTTACATATGTAACCCCTGTGACCTTGAATATATGTGAAGGTAATTTATTTGAACAAACTTGGTAGCCCTTCATCACATTTTTCTTCTGGCCAAATATTATTACCTTACGCCTTTTGGTTATTGAGAAGAAGTTGTTTAAAGTAAAATATTGATGCCGGAAGCCGCACAGACAGTTGCCGGATGCCGGACGCCGAGCAACAGCATAAGCTCACTTGCCCTTTGGGCAGGTGAGCTATTAATATAAAGGATATCAGACTTAATTTATGCCATTCAAGCTCAACTTCTACTATCACATACATTTCATTTCACCCTAAGATTTGAAAGTATACCTGTACTCCTACACCACACAAAGAAACAATACATACTTAAACAAGAGGCCAAGAGGGCCTGTATTGTCAACAGGATCTTTATGCCCTGCAATGGTATAAATGGCTATTGGTTCAGGATCAATCGGTAAATTAAAATATCATGGATGTATCCATCTATTTATCAAACGTATATATGGTTATAGGGTAGGGATCTTAATTGATTCAAAGTTATGTCCCAGAAATTAAGTCCCTAGGGGCGGGGCCAGACCCAAGAGTCCTGATGCTCAACAATTGTTGACATGGTTATATGGTGGGTATCTCGATAATGTCCAAGTTAAAAATTCTATTTGGCAACTATACCCCTCAGAACCAGGGGTCAGCCCTTCAACTGGTACAATTTTGAATCCTCAACCACGAAAAATGATCCAAATCAAATATGGTTGATATCTTTCACTTTGTTCCAGAGAAAATTTTACATGCAAGGGCCCGTCCCTTAGTCCTGAAGGGGGGCAATTCCCTTTATTAATACAGAATTGAGTCCCTTTTGCCTAAGGATGCTCTACACCAAATAATGAAATGGTTCAAATCCCTCCAATCATACAGGAGGCGACAGATTTAAACATTTTCCCCATGTTCTCCCTAATCCTAATGGGCCCTCCCCTCTCTGCCCCCAAGGGAGCCACACCCTTCGTTAAGTGAATTCACCTTGCCAAAGAATTTCTACAGAAGGAGCACTGGTGAGCTCAATATGTATGTGTTACTGGTTTAGTTTACAGCCTGTTGGAATGGGATTTTTAAGCTTTCTTTGTTGATGGAGAAATGGCCCATCAACAAATTATGATACTTTAGGGCCACCATATGACACTGGAAGTGTGGTTGTCAACAAAGGGAGGCCTGTTCAGGAAAAAGTTGCATGGTAGAAATAAGTGTTATGCTTACAAATATAAAAAAAAAAGTAGGGACTGATCATTTCAAAAGGCTGCATCATTATTACAGTACGCGCCAGGTGATTTGGTACTCAGTCACCCGCTGAGCGACAAATTTTAATCCCTGTAGCTCGTAACGGTAGCGTATCCCGTGGTCATGGGTGATGGGGATTAAGAATGGACAGAGAAAATACAGTATATTACTACTGCCATGTATGTGTCTGCTGTGGACGATGTTCCTGTCTACCGTACCACAGATGAGCAGTTACAATCGGCACACCAAACAGAAAGTGCTACTAAAATTTCTTGAACGGATAAGAAATAACACCAGCACAAACTGTCGTTTAAAGGTTTTTAAGAAAAGTGACTCCTGTGACCTTGAATATGTATGAAGGTCATTTGTTTGAACAAATTTGGTAGCCCTTCATGCTAACATCCTTCTGGCCAAATATCATCACCATGGACCTTTTGGTTATTCGGAAGATTTTTTTTAAATATTTAAAATATTTGACCCCTGTGACCTTGAATATGGGCAAAGGTCGATCATTTAAACAAACTTGGTAGTGCTTCATCCCAGCATGTTATTGGCCAAATATCATCACCCTAGACATTTTGTTAATTCAGAAGAAGTCATTTAAAGGTTTTCAAGACAATTGATCTTTGTGACCTTGAATGTGGATGAAGGTCATTCATTTGAACAAACTTGGTAGCCTTTCATGCCAACATCCTTCGGGCCAAATATCATTACCCTGGACCCTTTGGTTATACAGAAGAAGTCGTATAAAGGTTTTCAAGACAATTGACCTCTGTGACCTTGAATATCGACGAAGGTCATTCATTTGAACAAATTTGGTAGCCCTTCACCCAAACATGCTTCTGGCCAAATATCATCACCCTGGAGATTTTGGTTATTCAGAAGAAGTTGTTTAAATGTTTCAACATATTTGACCCCTGTGACCTTGAATATGGGCAAAGGTCATTCATGTGAATAAACTGCATAGTGCTTCATCCTAACATGTTATTGGCCAAATATCATTATCCTGGGCTTTCTGGTTTATCAAATGAAGTTGTTGAAAGGTTTTAACATATTTGACCCCTGTAACCTTGACAATGGGCAAAGGTCATTTGTTTTAATAGAAGAACTGGTTATTCAGGAGAAATTGTTTAAAAAGTAAAAAGCTGATACCGGACTGACAGACGCTGAACACCGCACCATGCCATAAGCGGAACATCGTTTTAGCATAACCTGCCAACCTTGAAGAGAGATCTTATAGAACTGTGGAATATTTTGTAATTCTAGGAATTTTGTAGTGTTACATTTACACAAAAGGAAATTTTGCAATTCTTACCAGATGAATTTTTGTTAATTTTCTGCGTTAATGCCTTCTCCAAAAAAAAATTGGCCATATAAATAATGAAACTAATTATCGTACCGAGTACATATTTTTTAGAGGGGGGTGGGGAGGTATATTGTAATGCCGTCCAGGTAAGGTACTGTCCATTGTATCAAAATAGTTTGATTGGCAGGTGGCAGGTGTTGAACACAGGTGAGAGAAACTATGGTTCAAAGTTAATTGCTTAATTGCTTTTATGATAAGTGTAGCGCAAGTAGTGGGGGGTGCAAGGCCCAGTTGGGGGTTTGCCTCCCCAAGTAAAGTTTCTGGAGCAAATTCATGTGTTTTGTGGAAATTTGGCAATTAGATTTAAGCAGACGTAATTTATGTCTCTGATAAGTTAGAAAACATATATATTGCGATTTGTCTTTTCTTATGCGATAAAGGTTTGAAATACCCGAATATTAAATATGTTTTTACTCATCAAAATTATGTGTACTCATTTGAATAAAGCTAGAGAGCTATGCGCCTGCACGATGCAAACAAGAGGCCCAATGGGCCTGCATCGCTCACCTGGTATTAATCTCACACTTGTTATCTTAAGATTTCATAAGAACCTATTAAAAGGTTTATAAATAAGACACCTGTGACCTTGATTGTCCAACAAGGACATTAGGTTAAAAGTGGATCAAGGTCATTCATTTGAACTTGGTAGTCCTTCATCCCAGCATGCTACAGGCCCAATTTCAGTACCCTTGGTCTTTTGGTTATTGAGAAGTCGCTTGAAGATTTACGACATTTGACCCCTGTGACCTTGAAAGTTGGTCAAGGTAATTCATTTGAACAAACATGGTAGTCCTTCATCCCAGCATGCTACAGGCCCAATATCAGTACCCTGGGCCATTTGGTTATTGAGCAGAAGTCATTTGAAGATTTTAAGACATTTGGCCCCTGTGACCTTGAAAGTGGGTCAAGGTCATTCATTTGAACAAACTTGGTAGCCCTTGATCCCAGCATGCTACTGGCCAAATATCATTATCCTAGGCCTTTTGGTTACTGAAAAGAAGTTGTTTCAAGTAACAAGAGATCCCAGAGGGATCTTCGCGCCCACCTTTGTACCATCTTCGTTAGTTCTTTGTCAGTTCGATCTTTTCTCTTCTTTTCTCTAATCTGTTTGATGTTGACAGTTAATCCATTTTGTTTTTATGATCAGTCTCAAAATATAACATGCACAACGAGGGATCAAGGGTAACCTACATTCAAAATTTGAGAAAATTCATACTTCCCGAGAAATAGCGATAACAAACTTTCACTATCAAAATCCAAGATGGCTGCCTGTCAGCCATGCTGTTTAATCGATCAGTCTCTAAAATTGCTCTGCACAGCTAGGACCAAGGGGAACCTACATAGGAAATTTAAGAAAGATCCCTCTAGTTCTTCCGGAGAAATAGCAATAACAAACCTACACTATCAAAATCCCAGATGGCTGCCTGTCGACCATGTTGTTTATCCGATCAGTCTCAAAAATTGCCCTGCACAGCTTAGAAGCAGGGGGAACCTACATATACAATTTGAGAAAGATCCCTCTGATGCTTTCCGAGAAATAGCGATAACAAACTTTCAATATCAAAATCCAAGATGGCTGCCTGTCCGCCATGTTGTTTATCCGATCAGTCTCAAAAATTGCCCTGCACAGCTTAGGAGCAGGGGGAACCTCCATATAAAATTTGAGAAAGATCCCTCTGATACTTCCCGAGAAATAGGGATAACAAACTTTTCATATCAAAATCCAAGATGGCTGCCTGTCCGCCATGTTGTTTATCCGATCAGTCTCAAAATTGCCCTGCACAGCTAGGGACCAGGGGGAACCTACATATAAAATTTAAGAAAGATCCCTCTAGTTCTTCCGGAAAAATAGCAATAACAAACCTACACTATCAAAATCCAAGATGGCTGCCTGTCGGCCATGTTGTTTATCTGATCAGTCTCAAAAGTTGCCCTGCACAGCTAAGGACCAAGAGGGACCTACATCTGAAATTTGAGAAAGATCCCTTTGGTGCTTCTTGAGAAATACCGAAATAACAAGAATTGTTTAAGGTGGCTCCACACTTTCGCAATTAACCAGCAAAATTCGTTGAAACTTTCATATAATTGTTATGCAACTATGTCGAGTTGATTTTATTAAAATCTAAACATTCCGATAGTTTGGGGAATTTTTTGGAAAAAATACCAAAAAATTGAATTTTCTTCAATTCTAATATTTTCAGGGTTTTTTTGTGTGTGGCATTGTTCGGAACAATAACAACAATAATAAAATGAAAAGAAGCATTTCTAATTAACCCTACAAATATTTTATTTATCGCAAAATATGTAACACATGTTACACAAAGTGTTTTTTATTGAATTTGTACGGATAAAAGTGATTATCTGCAAGCTAAAAGCACCCAGGACACAAAGTTCTATACATATAGAGTGGGAAATTGAACAAAATATACACAATGGCTTTATAATTAATTTATTTTACATTTTACAATCACTTTGATCCGGGTGAGAGTTATCTTCCTTGAAAAAAATCGGAACTTTTTGCAGAGGGGTGACATTTACACAATGACAGTTGTCTCTGTTTACATATAACAAAAATGATGGAAATAAATCAAAAATATGATATCAAAATTATCAATTTATTGTTCTTTAATGGAACCAAATTACCCTCAGTCATGTACACTTTGGACATCATTCCACAGTCCGCTAACTCACGGTATATTTATAATTACATGTCAGGCACATATGTGACCAGAGGCTATCGCATGGTATGCCGTTCTCACGTGCACTCACACATGCATTTCATAGGTATCTTGATATTTTACAAAACATTATTTTCACAGAGTAAGTAGACTACATTTGTAAACACGATTTAATCGACAGAGCGAAACTCCCTCAGCTTATGAACTCGTGTAAGCACGTGATATGCACATATGAGGTTGGTACGTCCGCATTCCATGTGTTTCCTATATGACCTTCTTGAGGTCGTCTGGTCTCATGTCACTGTCTTCCCGTGAGTCTGTTTATGTCTATGAATTGGAAAGCTTTATTCCTGAAGTACGTGTGAGTATACATTTCCCGGTAAAATCTTGATATCGGGTGTTGACATATCATCGGCACGCACGTGTACTATTGTTTACCATGGGCCTGTTCGTTTATGCGGAACAACCGGTTTGACCGTTTATAAATGTAACAATTTCGGGTGTAAATCCTGGCGGACCTGCAAATGTGTATGCAGGCCTTGCAAGGCTTTCTCAAGACTCGCCTGAAAGCAGCATCAGATTACTAGGTCCGACCTTATTTAATAAACGAACAACAGTGGTCCGATCGGTTTGACCGTTTAATCGAAAACGGCCCAGCAGGTGTTACTATAATTTGCACTACGATATTGAATGCCCGATACGCAATACGGAAATGACGACACGGTGTACATGCACATTTCGATTAAGATAATTGAGTCCTAGCTGTACTTTTTCCGGAAGTATGTCACGAAAATGGACGCTGATGACGATGTGTCGAGCCACCTTAAGGACGGACCACGGACGGACCACGGACCACGGACGCAGGGTGATTTGAATAGCCCACCATAGCCCACCATAGCCCACCATCATCTGATGGTGGGCTAAAAAGTTGACCCTGGACAGATGGATGCCGCACCATGGCATAAGCTCACTTGCCCTTCGGACAGGTGAGCTAATAATAATAAGAAAGAAGATTTGTTTTTCAACTTCTTGCGTAATTGTCAGTAACAAGGTCACAGTTCACTTCAAATGATATCTGTTAGGCTTGTCAAATATTTGAGTCAGTAACATCCTGATTTACTAGCCAAAAAGTAACCAGCGCTTAGACTCTTCTATATACATTATATTGGATATTATATATATTGGAATGTTCTATATACATTAAAGACGAATATATCCAATACATTAACACAAGAGTAGAATGGTAAAGCTAACCATGCTTTGACCACTTGAGACACCTGTTAGCAGGCAGCTAGCTACCTGTTGTAGGTCAAGGGTCGCTGTCGCCGCCCCCGTTACCTGTAGTGTTGCAAACGCTATTTGCCCTCTGTTAGAATATGGATTAGCCAAATCAGTCACATTTGGACAAAATATTAAATTCTAGGGTTTCAATTAAGTTTCAAGTTTTATTTGAACTTTAGGCCATTGGGTTGAAAGCAAAGCTCCAAATCAATCCGTCAAGATCAAAGGCTAACCAGACACACGGCTTCTCTAGGCTTATTGGAGACGAGACATTTTGTTTCGTTTACTGGTTCATAATATTTCCTTATAAACTATCAAACAAAATGTACACACAAAAAAAATGGAAGAATTTTAAGCATCTCTGTTACTCGTCAAAGTATTTCGGCTTCACCTTTAATTGACATCGCATTACATACTGTACATCAGCAGCGCCAGCTGATATTTTTCGAGAATTTATACAACCTTCTGACTTCGAAAACAAAATAGAGTAAGAATGGTTGGTGCAAACAGCTGACCATCCACAACTGCTTAAACAACTGAAAGATAGCCTCGTGTTACTCAGAGACGTTAGTTATTGTTAACTTACATAATTGTTTTATTCCGACCGATTTCCACCTGATAATCTGACGTGAACGTAAATTATATTTTTTTGGACGTACCACATTCTAATGCACTACTTTATTGTATTGCATGAAATATTCGTGCATACAGCATATAAATATAGCATTCAGGCATCCTGGACTGTCAGTGATATCCAATGTACAGTACATTAGTTAGCTGCCGAATGACAAGTTAATCCCCAATGCTCATCTGCGCAACTTTGCTCAGGTGATTTCTCCGTGGGGCTTTAATCCCCTTCACCTCAGCAGCGACTGTCGCCCTCGCAGGGTTTCAGTACCAAATCACCTGAAGCGTAGGGTACCTTAAGACACAATCAGTCACTTTCTTATATTTGCACTTGGCTTTCATATTGCCTATTGTTGTTATAATCTAAAAGCAATTTGTCTTGATGTAAGAAGTAGATATTACTGTAGTCACAGGAGAAATTAATAAGTGAGTCTTAAATTTCCTACCTGGGATCCATTAGGTTGCATGTCCATATATTCTGAAAAAGACATATATATATCAAGGGTTATGAGTACATTCATGTAACACGCTTAGATACCACACCTTATAGAATCTGTTTTACTCCTCATTGTGACATATGTAACCCTGGTAGTTAGGTTACCTTTAGAATGATTTTTGAACAACCTAAAGCAGCACATCAACACATTTTAGGAAACATATTTTACAAATTCATCTCGTTTAGATCTGTCTCAAATCCACTGTTGCACACCAGGTCAAGTGACTATTTCCTTGGCACTCAACTGCCTGTGTGTTGTAGATAAATTAGCCATAACCTCACCTGAGCATTATACAGTCTTTTTGACACGGAATTTAAGAAAACTTGACACAAAATACATGAGACTTGTATACCTGGTTGGTCGTCTGTTGGTGACGGTTCTGGAGGACGGGAGGCTTTTTGTCTGGATTGAAAGCGAGTAGGGATTGGAGCAGTAGGTTCGTTGGGTTTTTCATAGTCTTCCTAAAAATAAAGGGTAAAAAAAAGGAAGATGACCGCAGTGGGAACATGAAAATAAATGAGAAAACACAAATAAGAAATGATTATATGGCCACACATTTTAATCTCTAGGGTGATTTGCCATTTGACCCCATATGATCCCTTTATTTTGTGTGGACTTTTTGTGTCAACTTTTTTTCTGTGGACTTTATTTTGCGAACAGTGTCTGCTCATGAATACTTGAATTACAAATGAAAGATATGTATTTCAATCTTGATAGTAATTATTATCTATGGCATTAATATCTCACAACAAGAGTACCGCAGGGTGGAACAAAATATGCCCGTCAAATGCCATATAGTGTTATATACTTTCTTACATTGAAATAAGATCTGCATCATTCTAAGAGTGGTAAGCTGATATGCTATAAAAATGTAGGAGAAAATCTACAGACAAAAAATCAAACACTGAAATGAACAAAAGGCAATAAATTTTGCAACAAGAGTACCATGTGGCGGAACAAAATACGCCCATCGAATGCTATATAGTGTTATATACTTTCTTACATTGAAATAAGATCTGCAACATTCTAAGAGTGGTTAGCTGATATGCTATACAAAATGTAGGAGAAAATCTTTGGACAAAAAATCAAATACTGAAATGAACAAAAGGCAATTCCTTTTGTAAAAATGGTCGAATCAAAATTCTTTTAAGGGAGATACAACATCATATGATGATTATAAAGTATACCAGGTTTCAAAGAAATCCCTGGAAAAATGTAGGAGGAGATTGCCGGACAAAAATCAAATACTGAAATGAACAAAGTGCAATAACTTTGGGAAAATTGTTGAATCAAAATTCTTTTAAGGGAGACACAACTTCATATCATGATTATAATGTAAACCACGTTTCGAAGAGATCGGTCGAAAAAATGTAGGAGGAGATTGCCAGACAAACAAAGTTTACGCAGGAGGGACGGAGAACACCATACCATAATACTACCGTCAAATTTGACGGTCGTATATCAATCGTCGAATCAAAGTTCTTTTAAGGGGGACACAACTTCATATCGTGATTATAAAGTACATCAAGTTTCAAAGAGATCTGTTGAAAAATGTAGGAGGAGATTTCCGGACAAAATTCAAATACTGAAATGAACAGAGGGCAATTTCTTTTGGAAAAATTGTCGTATCAAAATTCTTTAGAGGGAGACACAACTTCATATCATGATTATCATGTATACCAAGTTTCAAAGAGATCTGTTGAAAAATGTAGGAGAAGATTGCCGGACAAAATTCAAATACTGAAATGAACAAAGGGCAATTACTTTTTGAAAAATTGTCGAATCTAAATTCTTTTATATACAACGAAACACGCAAGAACAGTTTAACCTGTTTATTACACTACAGTTATAATACATAAAAGCTACAAGTTTGGCGTATCAGGGGCTACTCACTCTATACCAAAACAACTAAACTTACTAATAGAATATTTTAAAATTTAAAGAATCTGGACTCTGAGGTGTCCCAGAGTAGCTAACTACATGACCGAGCAAGACTCCAAAGATACAGAGAAGCAACTAGACCCTGGATGATTCCAGAGAAGCTACTAGACTCTGCGAGCGACCCTGGAGAAGCTGCATGAGAAATATAATATTCCATGACTAGCTAGACCCTCAATGGTATGAGAGAAGCCGAATATGTTAGCTAGACCCTCAACGATATGAGAGAAGCTGAAACATACTGTCGTAAAATACTATAATATTATTATGAGATTGGGGGTATAATTCCCCAAGAATTAAATGCCAACGAATTAAATGCCTGTCTGATTCCAAATTAAAACTAAGAGTGAGTAGCCCAAACAATCAAAACAAAATTAAGAGACCAACCTGGCTGACATTTGTATGACAGCTTAAGGGTATAGCAAAAACCAAAGCACACAAAATAATGTTATAGCAAACATATATGGTACTACAATCATATATAAGTATAGAATATATATATATATATATATATATATCTATATAGCATGAATGAACAGTACAATTAGAGGAGCTGAAGGGGATGGCGGGTGGGAATGCACAACAATCTCCTTCAATGAATCAGAAAACTATGCTGTGGGGGCTCGAAAATCCCTAACAGGGCATTCTCTCAGGCGGACGCTGATTGGTCAATCAGCAGCATCCCTCTTATCTCATTAACATATACATGCTAATTGGCAGTTACATATATACACATACACAACATACGTTACATAAAAACAGAAACATAGGCAGCAAGGAAAACTTGTTGTATATAAACTATAATTTAATATTCAAATATCAAATTATCATTTTAGGGGAGACAGAACTTCATATCATGATTATCATGCATACCAAGTTTCAAAGAGATCAGTCGAAAAATGTAGGAGGAGATTTCCGGACAAAATTCAAATACTGAAATGAACAAAGGGCAATAACTTTTGGAAAAATTGTCGAATCAAAACTCTTTTAAGGGAGATACAACTTCATATCATGATTATAATGTATACGACGTTTCAAATAGATCAGTTGAAAAATGTAGGAGGAGATTGATGGACAAACAAAGTTTACAACGGACGAACGGACGGACAACGCCATACGGTAATACTACCGTCAAATTTGACGGTCGTATAAAAATCAAAAGATCATGACAAATAATGCTAAATGACAACCAATTTCATGCTTTGAAATTTCATTAAAATATCATCACCATTGTACAGGAGTTAAGAATTTCTAAAAACATGAAAACGTTGGCAATCAGTTACCATTCATTACAGAGGCATTGTTTTCACCTCCAGCGGAAATTGCAGGTCATGTTTATGATATGCATGCATGCTCAGCATCAAAGTTCATTGTTATATAATTACACTGAGGATTCATTATCCAAAAGGTCTCAATTCCGATTGTCTACTTTTAAACCAACCTGCTGATAATATACAATTATATCCTTTGAATGTGGCTGATGCATGGTTTTATCAACCAGAAAAAAAAGAAGTATTAATTGAAGCGTTTTTATCAACTTTTTTTTAACAGTAAGTTAATGAGCTAATGCAATGACGTAGCATCCATTCTACGTCCGTCGTCTGTCCGTCTGTCCGTACGTCCGTCAAATTTTCCTATAAAATGCTACTACAGCTTAGTGGATTTTAAGTAAATTTGACCTGCAGCATCCTTCGGCCAAGGGCACTCAATTTTCTATAAACGGTAGGTGTGGCCCCCCTGGGGGCAGAGAAGCAGGGCCCAATAGGGGAAAAAGAGGTAAATTATTTACAAGAGGCCCAGAGGACCTGTATCGCTCACCTGGATACCAAAGCAATCATGGCAAAATATTCTCCGAATGAGATCAAGGGAATATGCCAGACCCCAAGGCCAATCCTTGTAGCATAACTGTATTAGATTCTTCATGCCCAGCAACTTAATGTATGGTTATGGGGTGGGGATCTCAACTGTTTCCAAGCTTTGACTCAGAAACTAAGTCCCTAGGGTTGTGGCCAGACCGAAGGATCAATTATAATATTGTGACTGCATTTGTCTCTTTTTGCTAAGCATTTGTATATATAGTTTTGGGGTGGGGATCTCAACCATTTCAAAGTTATGACCCAGGGGTTAAGTCTGCAAGGGTGGGGTAGATCCTGGAGTCAATTCTAATATCATGACTGCATTCGTCTTTTTATGCCCAACAATTGTATATATAGTTTTGGGATGGGGATCTAAACCATTTCTAAGTTATGACCCAGGGGTTAAGTCTCAAAGGGCGGGGCAGTCCCCAAGGCCATCCTGGAAGCATATGTGCAATCATCTCTTTATACTCAGCAATTGTATATACCGTTATAGGGTGGGGCTCTCAACTGTTTCCAAGCTGTGACTGACAAACTAGGTCCCTAGGGGTTCAGTCAGACCCTAGAGTCTATTCTGATATCATGACTGCATTCGTCTTTTTATGCCCAGCATTTGTATATATAGTTTTGGGGTGGGGATCTCAACAGTTTTAAAGTTATGGCCCAGGGACTATGTCTCCAAGGGTGGGGCTAGACCCTATAGCCATCCTGGAAGCAAATGTGTATTCTTCTCTTTATACTCAGCAATTGTATACCATGGTTATATGGTGGGGATCTCAACCATTTCCAAGTTATACACATTTTTTGGCCCCACCCCTTAGCCCGGGGGGTCAGCCCCACCATCTGTACAATTTTGAATCCCTGCCTCCCATGAATGCATCCGACCAAATATGATCAATATCCATGGCATAGTTATACAGTAAAAGTCGTTTATAGCAATATAGCAAAACTGCCCCCTTTTTGGCCCCGCCCTCAGCCCCCTGGGGGCTCAGCCCCACCATTTGTATAATTTTGAATCCCCACCACCTAGGGATGCTTCCAGTCAAATATGGTTGATATCCACCTCTTAGTTCCAGAGAAGATGTTGCTTATAGCAATATTGCAAAATTGACCCCTTTTTGCCCCGCCTCTCAGCCCCCTGGGGGTCAGCTCCATCATTTGTACAATTTTGAATCCCTGACACCTAGGGATGCTTCCAGTTAAATATGGTTGATATTGACTTCTTAGTTCCAGAGAAGAAGCCGCTTAAAGCAATATAGCCAAATTGCCACCTTTTTGCCCCGCCCCTCAGCCCCTGGGGTGTCAACCCAACCATTTGTACAATTTTGAATCCCCACCACCTAGGGATGCTTCCAGTTAAATATGGTTGATATTGACTTCTTAGTTCCAGAGAAGGAGTCGCTTAAAGCAATATAGCCAAATTGCCCCCTTTTTGCCCCGCCTCTCAGCCCCCTGGGGGTCAGCTCCATCATTTGTACAATTTTGAATACCCACCACCTAGGGATGCTTCCAGTCAAATATGGTTGATATCCATGGCACATTTCTACAGAAGAAGTCGTGTGTAGCAATATAGCCAAATTGCCCCACAACCTAGAAATGATTCCAGTCAAATTTAGTTGAATTCCAATCAGTGGTTAAGAAGAAGAAGTCGTTTAAATAAATTGTTGACGTACGGATGGACGACAGACGCAACGGTATGGCATAAGCTCACCTTGGTCATTTGGACCAGGTGAGTTAATAATCTTCTTCTTCTAGCCTATAGGGATTAAGGGATTTTATGCTAACTTAGTCTGAAGCATTATTGGTCCAAGAGGACTCAATTTTGTATAAACGGTGGGTGTGGCCCCTCAGGGGGCAAAAGGATGGGTCCAAATAAGTGAAATAGAGGTAAACCTTTAAAATTCTTCTTCTACCACAGGGATTAAGGGATTTCATCCCTATCTGGTCTGGAACATCCTTAGGCCAAGGGCACTTAATTTTGTATAAACGGTACCGTTGGGTGTGACCCTCTGGTGGCATAGAGATGGGTCCGAATATAGAGGTTAACCTTTAAAATCCTTCTTCTACCATGCATAGCAACCAGATTAAGGAATTTCATTCCAATTTGGTCTGGAGGATCCTTGGGTCAAGGGCACTCAATTTTGTATAAACATAGGGTGTGGCGCCCAGGCCTCCGTCTTTTGCATTTGACATTTGAAATTTGTTCTCGCTATATCTCCAGAAATACTGGATGGATCTTTCTGAAATTTCATATCTTTCATATCTTAACCTCATATCAAGTACCTTAAACATACCCAAGTGAGCGATACAGACCCTCTGAGCCTCTTGTTATTATCAGGAATCACTTGGTACAATGCCAGCCAATCAGGAAGAAAATCATTTTATAATAAAAATGGTAATAGTTTTGGTTTAAAGGCAAACATTTCTGAGCTTTATAATTCTGCAATGTGCCTGACTGAGCTTCACTTACTGTGTCACTATCTGAGCTGGATATAACCTTGCAACCTCTAGTAGGAGGAGCGGAGGACTGAAATTTTAAGGAAAATTTCATCATGGATATTATATGGTCAAGATTATATTTCATAGGAAATGAATATCATTAACAAACATTTTTGTTAAATCATTTCAATCATTAGACACAGTTGAAACAATATGCACTCTTACACTCAGCACAGTTATAACATTTTTAGCAAGGATAGAACAAAATGATTAGTTACCAATACATTCGTTTCATAAGAATTCCTCCTTTATATTATTGATGGCTTGATAATGAGGCAACTTGGGTAAGTGTTCACTAGATTAAATACACTTGAATGTATAAGCTTGTATTCTCTACAGTACCTTGCTGGGTGTGGTTTTTCCTGGAGGCCGAGCAGGTGTTTTATGTTTTTGGTTGCTCTTATTTTTCTCTTGTTCTTCTTCTAGTTCCTCATAGGTTGGCTACCCAGACAGGATAATAAACATTAATACTTCATCAACACATTATTTTAGCTTCCATGAATTATCTATTACATTTGAAGAGTCAAATACTACAATGAGTTTAACTTTCAGCCTTTTTTACATTCTGTAATGAGGGCAAATTTTATTACAACATCAAACATTATTAATCAACATAACAAACATACTAACCAAAGAGTGAATATGGAGTTTACCAGTGCAGAGCAAAAGTTTGACAAGGTGAAAGTTTCCTAGTATACAATAAATGGCCCAAAAATACTGTCTGGTTTCTTTGCCTATAGACCGAACTATATATATTCTGGTTGCCATATCTGTTCAACCAAGCGATTGTTCAGTCACCCTATATGAAGTACTTCCCACATAGATATAACTATGTGCATCCAAGAAGAATGGCAATATTTTGAAGGAAATTAGTGTTACTGTCTTGTGTTATGTTTAAAATTTTGTTTTGAGATACCTCTGTGGACATGCAATCATTGTAAGAGATGAAAGGAAGAATTTACCACTCAACTACCTTGAATAGACCTTTTCCTCCCAAAAAAAATAAAAATGAGCAAGAGGCCCAGAGGGCATGTATCCCTCACCTGGATTATAAAGCAACTATGGGAAATTATTCTTATTACATAAAACCCCTCCAATGGTACAGAAGATAGATTTAAAAAATATAAACCTTGAATTTCCCTATTGGGACCAACAACTATCAGCATCCAGTGGGGCCTCATTCTTCATTTATACAGAATTTAGTTCCCTTTGCCCCAGGATGCTCCAGGCTAAATTGGGATAAAATACCTGAATGCCTACGGTAAAAGAAGGGTTTCAAAGGTTTTTACCTCTATTTCCCCTATTGGGCCCCACCTCTTGCCCCAAGGAGGTTCAAATCCACCATTTATACAAAATTTAGTTCCCTTCATACAAGGACGCTCAAGACCAAATTAGAATAAAATCTCGTATTCTCTACGAAAGAAGTTTTTTTAAAAAGATTTACCACCACTACCCTAATTCGGCACTCAGCCCCTCTGCACCCAAGGGGAGCCACACCCACTGTTTATACAACATTGAGTCCCCTTGGCGAAAGGAAGCTCCAGACCAAATTAGGGTAAAATCCCTTAATACCTATGGTAGAAGAAGGATTTCAAAAGTTTACCTCTATTTCCTTATTCAGCCTCATCCCTCTGCCTCCAGAGGAGCCACACTTACTGTTTATACAAAATTGAGTCCCCTTGTCCCAAAGGTGCTTCAGACCAAATTAGGTTAAAATCCATGAATCCCTATGGTAGAAGAAGGATTTTAAAGGTTTTAAAGTTACCTCTATTTCCCCTATTGGGCCCTGCTCCTCTGCCCCCAGGGGGTCCACACCTACTGTTTATACAAAATTGAGCCCCCTTAGCCTAAGGATGCTCCAAACCAAATTTAGTCGAAATCTACTGGGCGGTTCAGGACAAGTAGCGTTTTAAAGGAAAAGTTGATGGACGGGCAGACAGATGACGGACGCTGGGCCATGGCCTAAAAATGATATGAAATTCATTAAATTTGATCCATATGTTTAAAAAGGTTATGTATTATAAAGGTGTAGCTAAAAATACTGAAATTAACACACCTTTAAAGATATTGACATGAACATTCTTCAAAAATATTCACATTTACATTAGTGCCTGAAAACCATTATACATCTTAGCCTATATGAGAAAAGAATTCAAATCTTCAACACTATTTGTGAATAACACATGGAGATTGCAGTTACAGTTTGTTATATTTTACCTGACCTTCAACTAGAGTTAAACAATCTGAAGTAAATTCATTTCCATGACAACATTATACCTGGTCATTAATGGGAGGTTTAGGGGCCTCTGGTAATTCGTTTGGATCCTCGTAATATTCCTACAAAAAAATGCGCAATCCAGTCACATGCTCCAGTTATAAGTGAATAGTAATATTCCTGATGCATACATCAATACCATCTCTGGGTCTTTGAATCTCGTATTGATAACTATGTTACTCTGACTTTTATAAGATCATCAATCGAATCACCTAGATTTCTGAATCATTTCTATCCTATAATGTCTTCAAAAATCAAACAAGAGGCCCAAATGGGCCTGCATCACTCACCTGGTATTAATCTCACACTTGTAACCTTAAAAGTGATATAAAATAAAGCTACAGGCAAATATCAGTATTTATGTCTATATAAGTCATTCAAAAGAACCTGTTAAAAGGTTTAAAACTTTTTACCACTGTGACCTTGATAGTCGAACACAGTCATTACGTTGGAACAAATTTTATAGCTTTAACTCAGGATGTAACATGCAAAATATCACCACCTTATCCTTTTGTTTATCGAGATTAAGTCATTTAAATGTTTATACATATTTGACCAAATGTGACCTTGAAAGTGGGTCAAGGTCATTCAAATGAAAAAGCTTGATAGCCCTCCATTCAAGCATGCTACTGGCTAAATATCAACATTCTGGGCCTAATGGTTATTCGGAAGTTGTTTAAATATTTCAACATATTTGACCCCTGTGACATTGAATATAGTTCAAAGTCATTCATTTGAACAAACTTGGTAGCCCTTTATCCCAGCATGCTTCTAGCCAAATAACACCATACTGGTCCTTTTGGTTGTTCAGAAGAAGTCGTTTAGGTTTCAAACATATTTTACCCCTGTGACCTTGAATATTAGTGAAGGTTATTCATTTGAACAAATTTGGTAGCCCTTCATTGTAGTATGCTACTGACCAAATATCAGCATCCTGGGCATTTTGGTTATTTTAGAAGAAGTCATTAAAACATTTTAAACATATTTGTCCCTTTTACCTTGAATATAATTTAAGGTCATTCATGTGAATAAACTTGGTAGCCCTTCATTTTAGCATGCTGCTGGTCAAATATCAACATCCTGGGGATTTTGGTTATTTAGGAGAAGTCTTTTTAAGATTTTCCACATATTTGATCCCTTTGACCTTGAATAAATGTCAAGGTCATTCATTTGAACAAACTTGGTAGTCCTTTATCCCAGCATGCTACTGGCCAAATATCATCATCCTAGGTTTTTTGGTTACTGAGAAGAAGTTGTTTAAATTAACAAGAGGCCCATGGGCCTTAACGGTCACCTGATATATTTATACAGAGAGTTGATTTTGTTTTTAACATGAACAGAAATATTATTCAAAGTGACAAAAAACAATAAACCACCTTATTCAATATCTAGCATACAGATTTCAGACTAAAAAGGATTTGAAACTAGCACCTCTGATTCTTAACAAGGAAAATGA